TATATATATATATATATATATATATATATATATATATATATATATATATATATATATATACACATACATATATATGTGTGTGTGTGTATATATATTCATTATATATAATCTCAAGCCTACCCTAAGCTCTATATCGGTTTTTTTCTAAGCTGTACTTTAATTTTGGAAGTATTTTATGGGAATACTTTGTTGTTTTTGTTAAATGCCATTGAGTCTGGTCCAAATCAAAGAGACACTGTGTAGGGTTTCCAAGGAGCAACTGGCGAGTTTGAACTACCAACGTTGTCGGTCAAACTGACCTTTAAGTCCAGTGCTTTATCCCACAGTGCCACACCAGTACTCCATGGGAACGCATAGAATGATACTATACAAATGACAGAAACTGTTCATATGAGAAGTCCTGTGTGGTTTAAGATTTTGTTTGTTAAAATATAATTCACAAACTGTGCTGTTTTAGTCACAGGAAACATTTCTGGGCGCACTTCATTATTGTATATATAAGACAAATATCTTCATCTCATGGAGGACTTGAGAAATCTCTGGGTACATACAAATATTATACCCTGCTATGAAAAATTTCCACATGATGGCAAAACATAAAACTTGATATTAATTTTGATTTGGCGAAAGCGTTCTGGAATAAACTTTGGGATTAATAATCAGATTTCTTTGTTTTTTCTGTAATTTGTTAATGAGTACAGTTTTTTAAAAAAAGCAAGACAAGCTATTAAGAATTGTTAAAGAAACAAGTATGAAACACCATTTAGCACATAAAAGGCAAACACAGATTAAAAATTAGATGTTAACTAGTCATTTCTGTGACTTACATGGGCACACAAAAGCTAAGTGTGTCTTCATAGTATTTGCCATCGGGACAGTTACAACCTTCAGCGCAGTCATCAGTACATTGCTCTGGAGAAGAGAGGGAAGTGCAGGAGCGACGGCAAAAAGAGGAACATTGATGGTACAACATGCCTTTCTGGCACACCACAGCTAAGAAACAAAGGAAAGTCACTAGTCGAAGATTTCCATAGAGGACAGAAATTATGTATCTTTGGTTATAGGCCTAAGACAGATATGAATCATGGGGAAAAAACATATACCTTACGTCAATAATCATAGAACCTTGCAGAATCCTAGAAGAGAAATACGAAAAAAAAAAACCCAATCCCTGCCAAACTAGATCTCTAACAAAAAAAATCAATTCTATTCCTGATGTGGCTCTGTGTGTTAAGGCGCTGGACTGCAAAATCGGTTTGAACTGCAAGGTCAGCAGTTCAAGCTCACCAAGATTGTAGGAAAGCCTATACAGGGTTGCTATGAGTGGGAACCTACTCGACGACACTTAAGAACAATAATAACATTTTAAAATATTTTAATTGTGACATTCTATAACAGTCTTTGATAGCTCATAAGTAATTTGTTGTTGCTGTTGTTTTCTCCAGAAACTTCTTACCATCACAGTTTATCTATTTGTTGTTGTTAAATGATGTGCAGTTGGTTCTGACTCATAGAGACCCATACAGACTTCTGAGGAGGGGCTGGTGGGTATGAACCACTGACCTTGCAGTTAGTAATCCAGAGCTTATCGTACAGCACACATCAGAACTCCTAAGCCTATTTACTCCCATACTATCATCATTTTCTTTAGAGCACTATTTAAATTTACAGAAGCTTTTAGTCTTCTACAAATAAACCATAACTTGACTTTATTTATTCTCACAGCCCTTATATTCTGTCTTCTTAATCAAGTTTATACTTTCAAAGCCTTGTCATTTCTCATCAGACAAAACTAAATGGATTATAGCAAACTGAAGTAATAATGTAAAAGCACACTTGCTACTTACACCTACCTAGCAAATGCTGGATGAAAAACAAGTGAAAATATTTTAAATGTATAGTTGACCTTGTAAGAGAAAAAGAGAGAGATGGGTGGGAGGAGAATCTTCAGATGCCTAAATTAAGAAGGAAATAAAATCCGGAACTTTAAGTGAATGTGAGAAGGGAGAATCGATCCTCGTAATCTAGTATTTTGGATTTAATCCATGTAGAAATAAAAGATGAAAGCTGGTCCTTTACAAGGTAAGGAAGTGGGAGTCTCCCCCACTAACATGAAACCTTAGAGAGCTTCAAGCTCAATTGAAAGAATGGATTAACACAGAGATCAGCAAACTTTTTTGTAAAAGGTAAAATGGCAAATATTTTTTACTTTCCTGGTCATATACTGTCTGTTACTGTTATTCAAACTCTGTCACAAAAGCAGCCAGAGACAATATGTAAATAAATGGGGTTGGCTGTGTTCCAATAAAACTTTACTTACAAAAACACAGGTGGCTTAAGGGGTGTAGTTTTCTAACCCTGGACTAGAGGAAATCTTCTCATAATACAGGAAGATGCTAGGGAAGTTTATGTAACTCTGCCAAGTCTATAATGAAATAAAGAATCCTCTGAGAAATAAAAACCCCAGGCTTAGATCCTACAGTTTTGGTATCTGAATTTTAATTTTTTTTATATTTATGTTATAGAAAACCCAAGCTGAGAAATTAATACAAAAACTAGTCAAGGATAGCCTTAGAATGCCTGACAAAAAGCTTTGTTCCACCAATGCTTGGTAGAGGGTGGATGAAGGGATGCTCTCAAACCAGGGACACAAAAGATAGTTATCAAAAAACAAATAGCCCCACTAAAGATTCCAATCCAAAATCCAGTGCCAATGAAACAATTCCAACTCTTTGTGATCCTATAGGAGAGTAGAACTGTTCCCTTGGGCTTCCAAGACTGTAAATCTTTACAGGGAACAGAAAGCCTCATCTGTCTCCTGTGGAGTGGCTGGTGACTTTAAACTGCCAACCTTGCTTTTAGTAGCCCAACACTTTAGCCCATGATGCTACCGATACTCCTAAAGATTAGTTCATAAAAAATGAATTACAGAACACATGAGGAATTAATTCACCACAAATGAGTCAGCAGATATACTAACCTCAGGATTAGCACCTCAAGAACTTGAGCTAATAATTGATTGCCCTTTGCATGTCTTACCTAATGTAACTACAAATCAACCATGAAATGATATCGACATAAGTGTTTTTCTTTACTTCCCACTATTTAGATAAGACATTTCTATGACAAGACTTTTTGACTTCAAGTTGTCTCTGTTCCATAATACGGTTATACTTTAGTTTTGCTATTTTGGTAGCTTTGATCTGTGCTGCTGTACTCACCACAGAATGAAACCTGAGCTCTAAAGTCGATGGAGATACCTCGCTGGCCACAGAGGTAGGCATAGTGGGCAAGAGCATTACAAAGGCAGGCACTTCCACACTTGCATGCATCATGTCGGCATAGCTGATAGTACAGTCCAGGGCTAATGTAGAAATGGCAAGGAGCAAAGAGCTCTTGGTGGATGACATCACAGTGTGCTGCATACCCAACTAATAGACAGAGAAACCCCATTAGCATCTCATTCTCTGGTCTTGATCTTACCCCTATTACCAAGTTCTAGAACTATTTGAGCCTCTTGTGTTCTACTGTAATACATTACTTAGCATATTTTCAGATAAGACAAGGTTTTATTTGATTTTGGTTTTGAGCAGTCAGTTTAGTGTGGTTTTAGTAAAACAAATTACCAAAAATCCTGGTATGTGAATTACACCGTCACTGAATATTGGACAGAGCGTGACCATGCCAAACTGCCGCTCACTTGATGGCATGTTTCCTTGGATCACTGGCTACCTGCTTAGGAGCCATAATATATGGTTTGATGATTAGGAGCTTGGAATTTGGAAGTAACAAACAGCAGAAGCCACCTGGGCTGTCACAATATGTAATTAAAGTTGGCCAGCCCATAACTGTAACAACAATAGTAGAGCATTTCCAAAGATTTTTATATAGCATTTAAAGAAGCTGAAAGCATTAAAACAATCTAGTCTACATTGGGGAAAACAAGATTTCTGTATATCTAAAGTAACTTTACAAGTATAAAATTAAAAATAAAATAGTCACTCTCTGAAGGTTTTATTTTGTTGTTGTTGTTTTTTAAAAGAACCTAGAATACATAAAGAAACCCTGGTGGCACAGCTGGCTTAGTGTTGAGAGTTCAAACCCATCGCTGCTCCGCAGGATAAAATGAGGCTGTCTGCTCCTCATTATAATCAGGGATTGTTCTACTATGTCCTGTAAGGTTGCTATGAGTAAGAATCAGCTGTACGCAGTGGGTTTACTGGGGGCTGTTTACAAAACAAATCCACTACTATTGAGTTGATTCCAATTCATCATGTCCCTACGGGATAAAGTCAAGCTACTCCATAGGGTTTCCAAGGCTGTGAATCGCTACAGAAAAAAATTGCCTTATCTTTCTCCAAACTTTTGGTAAGCAGAACAATGTTTAATGCACTCTACACCCAGGGTTCCTTCAGATTACATAAGGCATAATTTTAAACAAAAGTACATATGAAATGGCACTGACTTTATCATAATAAAGAAACTCAGAATTTAAAATCACTACTTAATTGTATAGTATAGAAACAAATAGAACTTTTCCCTATTTCATGCAAAAGAGACTTACTGTTTTGTTGGTTGATGTTACAGGGGTCTACCATAGGGACATGAATTGGTGCAAAACAAGTGGAGGAAACTCTCCAAGCATTTGCATGCAGTTGTGGAGTTCCTTCTATCATACCTGATGGAGACCTACAAAGCATAAATAATGCTCATTTTAGTCTCTCTCGAGAATTCCTCTCATTTTTTATATTCGTCTCCAAACATTAAAAGGGTACTATTATTTTAATTTACAAAGAAATGAAATCTAACAGTTAGAAATTTTCTACTAGTCAAAAAAATACACATGGCATTAGTTATCTGTTATTGAGACTTATAGTATGTCAAGCTGTGATTAAATAATGCCTTATTTAATCTTAATTTAAATTTTTTAAGAAAGCATCATTGTCTCCATTTTACAGAGAAAAAAGAAGCTTGAAGAAAAATTAAAGTTTACACAATACATTTCAGAGCCAGGATTCAAACTCAGTCTGCACAGACTAAACAAACAAACAAAATAACGTAAGCAGTCAAAATGTTAGTGTGTGTGTTGTGTGTCTTTGGGGGAGGGGAGAGGCAGTATGGGGTGGTTAACAGGATTCTTTCCAGAGTAAAGAATAAGTGTTTCAAAGAATAAACACTATATTTCTGGTTTGATATTTCAATTCCTTTACCAAGGCTGGATATTAAACTTCTATGGTAAAATTAGGCAATGAATGAACAACTGAAGAAAAGTGGCAGAAAAGACAGATTTATCAATCACAGCAATGTTTAGGAGCCAAACACTGAAATTTCCCTCTGCCGGCAACCATCAAGTTCTATTAATTCATCAATCAACATTTATTAGAGAATCCAGTTGGATGAGGTCTCCTACAGCAAGTGTTTAAACATACCTCAAGCCCTGACAGCATTAGTTGCCACAATGTGGCCAAATATATAGAACAGGCCTTAACTCTGCTCTCTATAGTGCCCTAATAGAGTAACTACTTTGGTTACCATTTGACTAAGGGACCATCAACTATATGGAGCTTCTCATCACAGTGACTTCCCTGAGAGTGACAAAAGAGGAAGCACTGACAGTCACACAAAGGATCACACAATGTTCCAGTCTCTCTCCATCAGCCTTTCCTGTTGCTCTTCCCCGATATCAAAACTTTATAGACATATAAAGAATCACAATAAAGACCTAATCAAAAGTCTCATTTTACAAAGGAGAACACCAAAACTCAGAGAAATTCCATGACTGAAACTTGCAATTTCTTCACTTACTCTTTCGCTCTCCTTCCTTCCCATCCCTCTAAAAGGTAATAAAACAGGTTAGTAATACGATGCCTATATTCAGGATTCACAGGAGCAAGTGACTGAGAGCTTGGTTCTCGTATTTCATTCATTAAAAAAGAGCAAAATGTAGTCCCATTTATTTAATGCACTTTGTAAAATAACCTTTTTGTTCTACATAGCTTACTTACTCTACTCACAAAACTTTTTTTAAAGTAATTAGTATCTCCATTCCACTATGTTGCCAGACGCTCATTAACCTTTGTGAAATTAAAACAAAATTAACTCATCATGCTGGAAAGCTGAACAATGTTTGAAAGTTATCTCTGACTCTGAAATATTATCCTGCACTGTTATCACGCCTGAATGTTTACACACCAAGGAGACTGGTGCCTTAGAAAGAGGCAGCCAGATCTGCCATCTGTTAAACAGTGACTGCTTACCCATTCTGACAAACAAGGATGGGAAAGAACCTTTAATGTCTTTCCTGGATATATAAAAGCAAACCCACATATGATAGTTTTCAACATCACAAATGGGATTAAGACATCAATATTCTGACCTACAGACAAGTAAAATAAAAAGACAAAATAAACTAAAATTAAATAGATCACATGAGAGATTATCTTTTGGCACTTTTAATTGTAAATGTCAGTTCTCCTCACTAATCCAATATTCTTCCTGATGTCCCATTCCCTGGTCCCCCACAGTTCAATCTGACATTCTACTAGTTCATATTAGTTCCTAGGAATACAAGGACCGAAGACATGATCCTTATAAAGCTCTCATATTTTTGTGTAGAAACTAGTTGTTATGGACAACTGAGTTTCACAGGCAAGAGAGTTAGAATTATCTTTGATCTGATTGAACAAACTTTATAAAGCAAATAATGTCTGAACTGGATTGAACAACAAGTGAGAGTTGAAAAGAAAGATTAGAAGAGGGAAAGCAATACAGGGAGAAAGAAGAATATAATGGTGATACGATAAAACTAAATAAGCAAAAATTTTAAGAAAGCCAAGACTTTGGAGAATGGCTTCTCCATAAATACACTCCATAAATACACTCTGGCTAATCCAGCACACACCGCTTAAATATTGTCAGCCCCTCCTGATTAATTGATCTATAATATAAGATCTTTGGGGATGGGAATCAGGAATTTTTCTGATTAAAGTGCTCCATAGTGCCTAGCACAATGACAGGTGCTCAAATAAGTTACATGAAATTCTACACTGCTTCTATTGACATGTATAGGAAAAGTGCTTTGCAAATCCAAGCAATGCAAAAGTATGGTTCTTCCATTATTGCTTTTCTTTCAATAAAACACCAAATGTTACACAACCCAATTAACTTAGAAGCCAAAATATTGTTTTAAGGTTATCATTAACATCAAATGATACTAATATTTTTTAAAGTGTAGTTTATTACCATTAATACCAAATAATATTGAGTCTTTTTTTAAGGAAGTGACTTTTCAAAATTTAAGTAATGTTAAGCTTGATAGGTTTCAAGGAATTGAATATAGGGTCACAGCCCAAAAGGCCTGAGTCACAGTGCGGAAATTGAAAACCAGATTCCACCATCAGCTATATGACCTTGGGTGATTTAGTTATCACTTTGGTAATGTGATTAGTTTCCTTATCTGTGAAGTAGAGATACTAGTCAGGTGATGGTTTTAAAGTTTAAACATGATGATTCATGTAAAGTTCTTGAAACAGTGCTGCTGAGCTACTATTAGTTAAGTAAACATTTTTAAATGAAAGTATACATTTCCTCTAAATTACCCATCATTAAATTATGTTAGCTATATAGAAATCATACTTACAGAAAATCATCTCTTATGTTCCCATTAAAAGTGCCACACAGACCTAATGTTCTTCTTTTCCAAGCACTAGTGAGCTGAATATAAATTCTTTCCCCATCTACAGCAAACAGGATCTTTAAACCAAATGTGGTTTTTAGAAGAATAAATAAGGATGACAGAGTTTGAATTTCAACAATTCCTGCAGGAAAAGATCATACACAAATCAGTTCTGGGATTCACAGGTAGTGTTAGCAAATGCTATTTCAGTACAATATCAAGAGTCTTCTCCCAAGAAGTGGGGGAGCCAGGTTTGCAGTCCATTGTTACTGCCCCTGGACTTCCAAGACCCATTTTTGCCACCCTATGCCTATTTCTTATTGATTCCCCTTCTTCTTTCCCTCCTTCTTCAATCTTTAGCAGACTTTTTAAAAATAGATTATCAGGTCAACATATAATTTCAGCCAGCACGTATCTCACAAAGTGAGAGATGCACAGACAATTTCGAATCTGATCTATTTTCCTAAATCTGTGTGTGTATGCATATGTGTTTGGGGACTGTGATTTTTTTCCCTCTAAAAGGAGCTCTGGTAGCATAGTGGTTACGAATTGGGCTGCGAACCTTAAGGTCAGCGGTTCAAAACTACCAGCCGCTCAGCGGGAGAAAGATGAGGCTTTCTACTCCCGTAAAGATTTACACCCTCGGAAACCCTGTACAGGGTCGCTATGGGTCGGAACCGACT